GTATTATGTGTTTTGTGCTTAATTGCTTAATTATGTGGTTTGATTAATTAAGAATAAAAATAAGCGTCAAAATTTAAGTGTATAATAAACTTGATATCTTTAGATAATGTTGTAGTGGTTGAAACAAGGTTTCCGAAGATATAAAGAATGCCGAAATCCGAGTTATAACGAGGAAGTTATGACCTGTCGAAGTTTCGCGACAGAACCGGCACCGCTGAATAACGTAAAAAGTGAAATTTACGTTAGAGCGATATTTAGTCTTAGTGATCTAAATGAGAATCGAAGATCTCGTTGTTAGTATCAAAGCGATAAAAAGTTAGGCGAGAACGGACGTCAAACGAAGAAGTTATGAATTTATAACGAAATTTTCTGTCCCGGCCTATTAAAAATAAATAATAAAAATAAAGTCAAAATTAGCCGACGGAGTCTAAATGAAAGTTGTGGAGCATAGTCTCACCTTCGCGTGGATATAAAGAACGTCCAAAACAGAGTTCGTATGAAGAAGATATGAATTTCCGAAGTTTATTAAATAATTAATAATTAAATTTAATTATTAAATTCGGCCTTATCCGAAGGCGAGTCACCGGGCTCATCCGGAGTACGCCCCGCGTACAGCGAAGTGTGTCGACACTCGCAATCGAGGACTTCGGATGACGCATGCAGTGACGTTTCGGAGGCAGTACGCCCCGCGTACACCGAGGCTCCAGCCTCCTATAAATAGGATGCGAAGGTTCCGATTTTATTTGCTAATTTCCTCTCGTTTTTGTGCCGAAGCTCTGCACGTAAACCCCCGAAGCCATCCCGAACCCCGGTAATATTCCGGAGCCCCGAAGCAAGTCCCGAGATCCTGAAGATCCCAAGAAGTGCGGTTCCCGAGCCGAAGCTCTGCCCGCGAGAAGTTCGATTTTTGTAGAGATCTTCCAGATCTGCTGTGGATTACTACTTCCGCAAGTCGTAGTGCTGTCCGATCATCTTCTGAACAAGTGAGTGTGTAGTTACTTTCTTCTAACGCATAATTATGAAGTATTGTATACGGAGTACGTATTATGTGTATAATTTTGTGGTTATGTGTGTGAATGTGTATTCACTTTCTTCTAACTCATAGATATGATTTATTCTCTATGAGATAAGTGTTATGTGTGTGTGTGTGCCTCATCTGTTATGTGAAGTATGTGTTGATTAAAGCATGCTATACAGGTTTTTAAACTATGTATACAAATGTATATTTTATCTACTAATATGTTGCGTAGAACATGGGTAGATAGTTGGTGTGTAATAAACAGATGAGAGGCCTCGTTGTTGTTTGATTTAGTCATCTAGCGGAGTTTAGATGACGACCACGGGCTATTCTAGACAGTCTTGTGGAACATTATCAGGTTCGCACTTGTAGGTGTTAATGAACTTGGGTGTTCATTCGTTGTACTCCATCCCCCTCATGGTTGCCTTATTTGACTTATATTGCTGAAGAACCCCCGCAGCATGTGTTGTCAACCCGATGAAAATATTCTTAGATTAGGTCCCTTGTGTTAGTTATTTTAGGGACATAAAGTGAGAATAACGGGAATGGGTAACTGGGCTATTGTTGGTTGATAATAATTAATTTAATTATTTATTGTGGGTTGAAAACCCTATATGCTCACCAGACTCCCAAGCCTAACCCACTCAGTTTTATTTGTATTACAGGAAGTGGTGTAAGGGCATGAGATGGATGAACCATCAGTTGTTTTGTTTACAAGTCTGTATATGTTTATATTTGTTGAATGACCTGTAATGTTATCGTTTATGCTTATTGGTCTATATCGGAACATGACACCCCGAGTTTTGATTATAATGAAAATACATTTCTTTTATGAAATGCTTTGGTAAACATTGTTTTATCACGTTTTGTTTTTGGGAACAAATTCCGCAACTCTTTCAAATCAAAAGGATTTACTCTGAAATTATTTTAAAAGCATAAATGAAAATCGGTCTTTTATGACCCTGATTTTGGGGATGTCACATAGGACCACAGCCTGGTTGCCGAGATCCCAACAACTTAATGCATTAAGCTATTTCCTTTGATTCCAAGAGCTCCAAAGCTCAGATCTGGACCTAAATGTTATTTAAAAGGATAAAGTTTCCAAAATTATCCATTAGGACCATCCAAAGGTCCTAAAAATGCATAATAAGGCGTCAACCTAGCCAGTAAGCATTTATTCCAAAAAGGTCTAAAATCCATCCGTTTCGAAAGTGATTCTAGCACCAAAACTAACCTAAAAGTTGGTGCTTTATAGACATATATGTTCAATGCATGTCTTGAACCAATATTAGGACAAAATGAGGATTTTGTGACCTAAATCTCATGCATGGCCTGAAAATCCCCCCAAACTCCAGATCCATGGCACAAAATACTCCAAATGTCCCTGAGATTCATAAAGTTGCAAACATTATGAGACCTCATCATCTCAACAACCAAGAATAAGAAGTTAATGGGACAAAACACAAGATCCAGAAACCTAGTATGATAAAAATCGAGTATTGGACACTTACAAAGGTCTTGAAGAGTGCTAGAGTGAAGAATGGAGACTTGCTTGCTTGATCTTTACTTCCTTCTTCATTCTTTAGCTTTAAGGACACAAAAATTTGCACAATGATTTAGGAAAGTGATTAGCGTTTCTTGCGGCATGAGGGAACTAATGTAAGCTAAGGATGACAAAACCCTAGCTACCCCATTCCTTAAAATAGGGAGCAATCCTCGAAAGAATAGGGTTTGTATGCCAGCCGCCACCACACTATGCCCAATATTGCCATGTTGTAGTGACCTAAATAAATACTCGACTCTTTATCTCCTCGCCAAGTCGTGGTCGGCCTCCACCACATTGTTGTAATCCTAAAATGAGAAACTAAAATACGTAAGAAGGTACCTCAAGATTCGGGCGTTATAGTGAGCGTCGAAAATCATAATGATTAATGGCCAAGAGAATGATTGTAGATTTGTATGTTGGATGCACGTACACCACATTATACCATAAAACTCACCTCCTTTTTTTCGTTTAAATATTTTTAGGCCATGTTCTTAACGGAAAAAACCAAATATACCAAAAGTCATAATTTTTTTATCATCTTTCCATAGACATCAATACTGAAATATAAAAAATAATAAAATAATAAAAAAAAATCAAAACAATTTTTTTTGGTAAAACTCCACTTTGTTTTGTTTTTTTTTTTCTAATATTTAGGTTTAATTTTTATCCAAAAAAAATTAAATTTACCAAAAATCGCAAATTTATGTCATCTATTAATAAACATCAATAACAATAATTTTTTTTATCTGCCCAGATTTATACTATTAATCTAAACTATAAATATCCAGATTTAACATTTAGAATATGAATATGATTTACTATTTAAACTATTTGATAATTCATAAATTAATTTAGTGAAATTTCCGTATGAATCAAAATATATTTCTACGTTATTTTATAATATTTTGACGATGTGACTACTCGTAAATTGTTTTTATAAAATTTCCAAATGAATGTATTCACATTGTGAATCTGAACTGTATATAATTTATATTTTAGAATTTATAATGTGAAACTGACTTACTATTATTCTTAATTTGAATTTGAGTTGAATACAATTATAATTTTCCACATATTTATAATGTGAATCTATTGTGAATCTGCTGAACTAAAACTTCCAAAAAAAAATTATTAATGTGAATCTATGTTTAAAAAACTCCAAAAAAAAAATACAAATTTGTTATATTTATTATTTATTTTCCATAAAAAGTAGATCTTAAATTAAAAATTAAAAAAAAAAAAAACAATGAAAATTTAACGAGATTAAAAAAAAAAGTTTTTTATATAACAATATGGATTTCTGTTAAAAAATGACAAAAAATGATAAACAATAATATATTCTGATTTTTTTTCACCAAACACATTGCCTAAATAATAAAACTACGAAAAAAAAAAGTGAGTTTTTTGAAATATAATAAAGTGGATAAAGGAGGTTCCAGTTAAGGTGTTGTGTTTCGAGTTAAAGGTGTCGTGTTTCGTTTGGAAGGCGAACCTGGATAGTATTCCAACCAGATGCACGCTTCAGAAAAGGAATTTTAACATCGAATCTATTACTTGCCCGCAATGTAATTCCAGTGATGAAGATTCAAACCATATCTTAATTTGCTGCCCGTTTGTAGGTGAAATATGGACGTGGCTTTTCAAATGGTGCCAAATTAACTATCCCCAAGTAGATACAATTGGAGAATTGATACAGTTTTGCTCACATTGGGGAACATGCGAAAAAAAAAAGAGAAGGGGCTTATTATGTGTATATTACAGGGCTGCATGGCTCATATGGAAGGTATGGTGTCACTTGATATTCAGCCAAAGAAGAGTGTCACCAACAAAGGTGGTTGATGATGTAAAATCTTTGGTATACAATTGGTTTGAGTGGTGTGTGAATCCTAAATTGGGTCTGTAATATCTTTTAATTACCTGCATCACTCTTTTCTAGCCTCTTGCTAGAAGGAAACTTTTGTATTGTATTTGCTTTTAATATATTTATTTACCGGTTTCATAAAAAATGTGGTTCATCCATGTTCAATGTATATATTTACAACCTTCTTTTAATTGTGGATCATTTTAAATTAGTGACACTTTAAATTGATTGATCAATTAATAATTATTATATTGAATTTTTCGTAAATATTCACTACTTTCAGAATTTTGTTGTTCATCGTGAAAAACTATTTGCAAAAAAGAAAAATAAATTCGACTGATGGTAATGAATGTGACTGGCTTTCACAATTTTATTGGTCATCGGAAAAAATTATTTAAAAAATTCGATTGAAGTAATGAATGAGACCGAAATAATAAAGTAATGAATAGAAAAAATCAATGTTTATGTGGTATCCATCTCATCCCACTCTTCGTCGCTAACGTTAAAAATCTGTCGCACTCAATCTTAACCGACAAAGCCCTTGGTATTCAACTCCGGTATTCAAGTCCCCATCAATGTCTGTCCGCCTCCTCCTCCACATCTTTCTCTCTCTACAAACCGCCGCTATTTTCTGTCTCTTCACTTTACCATTTTTCATTGCCATCGTTAGATCCCAATCTCAAATACACCTTACCATCTCTCTCTCTCTCGACATGCCAAACACCAATCGCCGTCGTTATTCAGACACACGAATCAACCATGCCACCGACTCCAACCATTCACCACCCAAACGCAACCCAAAACTTTTGTCAATCTTTCTTAAATTCATGGTTATGTCCCTAATTCTCTCTCTTTTCCTTATCTTTCTCGGCCTTGCTGCCATCCTTCTAGTCCACATCCTCATTTTCGGCTCCTTCCTTCATCGCCGCCGGCAACACACCACCCCACCACCCGCCACCTCGTATTCTCTTCTCTACTTACAGAACAACCTCCCGTCCTTCCAATACTCCTCCGCCGCCGCTGCTTCCACTGATTGTTCGATTTGCTTGGAGTGCTTCAACGAAGAAGACTTGTGTCGTAAGCTACCGGTGTGTAACCACATCTTTCACGCACACTGTGTGGATTCATGGCTTATGAAAGTACGAACTTGCCCCGTTTGCCGGACACCTGTCCGGCTCGATGTTGATCGGTCATCCGATTTGATTGTCAGTGACGATGACTGTAAATTCCTTTGGGCAATTGGTGTAGGTAGTGGTTAATTACTAGATTTTGACTGCTAAAGTGTAGGCTTTATGCATGTTTTTCTATTATACTTCTATTTTCGTTGTAATTATGCATTTTTAGTTAAAAAAAAAATCAAGCGTCTATAGATATTTAATTTGGTTGGTGTTAACTTTTATTCTGGTTAAATTTATGTTTTGGACCTAATTATATATACAAGCTCTTTGCAATTAAGTCGATTTAGGTAGTGTTTGGCAGCTGTACTATACTGAACAGGACCAGACAGAACAAGCAATTTATTTATATAGCGTTTGGTAGGATTGAAACAGATTGTTAGGTTTTGTTTAGAAAAGTTAGAATAGAACAAGCACAAGACATTAATACTGCACTTCTATCAAATTAAAAGTAAAACCTACGTTTAACAAAATTAACAAAAAAAATTAAAATTCATATAGCAAATTCAAAGGAATTTGCCGATTACCAAAAATTCATCATTACATAGTCCATGAAATATTAATCGGGGAATCAAAAGAATAAGTTGCTAGAAGCATTAAGTAACTGAGAAGCAACAAAAAAGAATAGATAACTAGAAGCATTAAATTAATTGAATTAACTAATTGAAGCAAAAATTGTAATAACATAAATTTTCAAACCAAAACTTTCATTTTTTTTAAAACACATAAAAACTCATAAAGTATTTCTCAAAAACAAAATGGTTCAAATGTCAACACAAGTCCACATAAAAATGTCATTATCTCACAATCCAGAAGGTCTCGAAATCAGTATGTAAAATCAAGTTGGTGCCTTCTCCCAATCCTGAGAAGTACCTGAAACACATATTTATACAACACGGTAAACATAAAGCGTACTAAGTTCTCCAAAATACCACATACACAAATAATAAGCCTCTTATGGCTATGACTCGGCATAGACCCTCTGGTCACATGCGTCTTGATGAAGATCCTCCAGTCTCACGGCTCAGTGTGGACCCTCCGGTCTCACAACTCGAGTTGGACCCTCCAATCCTATATCTCAGTGAAGACCCTCTAGTCTCACAACTCGGTTTGGACCCTCTGGTCCGATCTCAATAAAACACAGAATAACATAGCATATATCACAAAGATAGAAATCCACAATATCACATAACTCAATATAAGCACATAGGACCCTCCGGTCAATAACTCAAATAAGACCCTCTGGTCACTCGGTGTTACCACTCAGGTAAGTATTGTGAGAGGACTCACCTCGTAAGAAATCAGATAACCTCGAACTCAAATCACCGGTCTAGCCTTCGCCTAAAACAAACGATAATTATTTCTAATTAATAACGGCTCTTAAAGAAGTTTGATTGATCCTTCTACAAACTCACAGGAGGATAAAAGACAATTTTACCCTTCCATGGCCTTAATAGTCTACAAATTGACCAAACCCTAAAAGTCAACTAAAAGTCAATGGCAATGCATAGGCTAGGTGTACTCCTTTACCATGCATGCATTGGGGATTCTCGACCCTACGCTGGGCGTATTGGGATTACGCTCAGCGTACGCCCCAGTTTTACTCTTCCTACTTGTTTGGTCTTAATTCGTTAAAACCTTAGCTCAAATCTCAGATTTGGACTTCCTAAAGGCTCATACTCCATAAAGTATGCGACTTTAATCCTTTGCATATCTGATAAAGTCACAAACACCAAAACTCTCACTCTTTATTCTTAAGAATGCTCATATCTCATGGGGTTGATTCAAACATCCAAGTCTCGATTTTATGATTCTACACCACTCAAAACACTCAAAGGAGCTGATAATAAACTCTGGAGCTCAATGTCTCATAAAGCATCCAACTTTGGGACCAAACCCCTAAAATGAATTAAAATGATGCACAAATCAAAAGGGTGAGAAATCTTTGAGCTTTATACCTCTAACTGAAGCTCCACCCACAGATAAGCTCAGATCCAAAGCCTAGACACCCACTCCTTCATCTTCAAAGCTCCTTTTTCACTCCAAAGAAACACAAGAACACTAAATAGCTCACAATGGACACACAAGCTCAAGGGACGAGAAATTAGGGTTTGAGAGGGTTGATGTTTGGGAATGGTGGCCAGAAATGAAGCAATCATGTCCATTAAATAGGGACACACCTTAAATTAGGGTTTTCACTCTAGGCCTAGTACGCCCAATGTACTAGGTGACTTCCGCGTCAAAAACACGCACATGAGTACGCTGAGCGTATACACGCGTACGCCTCGCGTACTTATTTACCACCTTTTTCTCATATAAGGGCCAAACTTGATAATTACCAAAAGAACAAGGGTTTATAAAGTATACATGGTCTTGGGATGTTACAAAACGATTCTACTAATAACTAATTGAAGAATTAACTATTTCAGAGACATTAACTAATTAAAGCATTAACTCATCAGGGATGAAGTTACTTTTATGGGATATTCACTATCTTTCTAATATTAAACCCATTACACACATAGGGTTTCATTATCCTAAAGTAAGTCAAAGTGAAAATCTTTATCTTTGATCTAAAAATGATTAAAATTGATGGTTACAAAAGAAAATGTTTGACTTTCAACTAAAGGCAAAAAGATGAATCTCATGACAGAGTAATATGTTTCGCCAATCGACACCATGACTACCGCGTCTCCTATTTGGATGTATCGATTTCATTTCAACCTCATTCTATACGTACCCCTCATCTGGTCCATAAGACTCCAAATATCCATAAAATGGTCCAAACGCTACACTTAACGAATGAGCAACATCATTAAGTACAGGTTTCAAAACCTGGAACATAGTTTTGAATCAAGTACATTTTTCATCATTAAGCAATAACATGAGAGATGTAATTAAATTTGTACCCATTAAATATTTTGGTTATGAGAACATATATGTGTGTAAATCTTGCAAAGGGCATAAAGGTAATTTAACATTCCAATGATTAGCAGTTACCTCGGTTTGAAATTCTTGAGCAGACACAATAATGACTTCACCAGCAAGCATCGTAGCTTTATATACCAGACCAATAATCATCTAAAAATTATAAAAATCAAATAGGCCAAAGCAATCATATTATAATAAATTGAAAATGAAAATTAATTGGAACGAAATGGAGCGACTGTACAATAACATATCGTTCTTTCTTTATAATCTTGCTACACAAAAAATTTATTGCTTTGTTCTTTTATACGTAGTTGTTAAATATAATAGTATTAACCAATAATGAGTTACAATGACATTTAGTAACCAAATGCCATGTAGTTGTAGTTTCTTTTAGATGATACACAACAAATGAATTACAAGACATGCATTTAGAAAACATCGGGTTCCAATATGGTGTTACCTTTCTATAGGTATAACAACTATATCATTGAATAAAATCATAATTTCATTATGTGTCAACATTATATGGACTTATCCTTCATCTCTCGTTCATTGGTGATATACATGTGATGAGGTGGACTGACAAGGATCACTTAAAGCTTCTTTTTGTAACATCCGGATTCTACCAGGTATCTTGTAAGTTTGAATTTTTATATATTGTGAGAGGGACTCGGCGAGTTGGAGCTCGGACTCGCCGAGTAGGGACGCGGAATTGATCGAGGGTGCGCGCTTGGACTCGGCGAGTCCAGGGTATGGACTCGGCGAGTCTGCGCTGTGTAATGAAACCCTAAATCTCCGGGTTTGAGGCCTATTTAAGGGGCCTTATGGCCGTCATTTGTGCTCACCCAACCCCCAGAGAGTGTCCCTAGAGTTCTTGAGCGTTTTGTGAAGGAAAGAGAGCCAATCTTGATCTTGTGTGTGTTGTTTAGCAAGAAGAAGGAGGCCCTAGGCAAGAGGAAGCAAAGGAGGTTGCTATTTCGTGGATTTGGAGCTTGGATCATCAATCTAGAGGTATTATTTCGGACCATTTTCTGTTTGGTGAAGTTTGATGTAATTTAGGGCTTAATGTGGTCATTTATGAGGTGATTTTGTGCCCCTTTGGTTCCCTCTTTGAGTTGAGACCATGGATCTGGATCCATAGAGGTCCAGAGGGCCTCACTCATCAAGCTTTATGGGTGGAAATGGAGCCCTTGACCTTGTGTTGAAGTATTTGAGTCAAAAACATCATTTGTGACCATGTAGAGGTTATTTATGCATCAAGATTGTGACTTTACGTACTAAATAAGCATGGAGGGACTGGATCTATGGATTAATGGACTGGATCTGACCTTTAGAGCAAGATTGAGTCAGTGCATGGCACGGACTCGCCGAGTCCGAAGAACAAACTCGGCGAGTAGCATGAATGTTGCCCGACCACTCAGCGGGTGGCCTCGCCGAGTTGGGAAAGGTGAACTCAGTGAGTCAAGGGGGAGACAGGAAAGACAGGTGGACCGAGTCAAACTGGACTCGCCGAGTTGTTCTTGAGACTCGGCGAGTTGAGTTGTGGTGGCCCCACCACTCGTGCCAGGTGGAGCTCGTCGAGTTGGGGGAAATGCTCGAGGTGTCAAGGGAGGGTTCCAGGGAAATTGGTGCATGTGCACAGACTCGCCGAGTCGCCATAGTGCACTCGCTGAGTCCGGTCAAAGTTGACCGTTGACCGTTGACCAGCGTTGACCAAGAGTGACTTGTTATAGTGTGGTCAACCCTAGTTGGGAAAGTGTTAATTAGAGATGTATTGTGCTATAGGGGGACTACAGCTCGGCGGATCGAGTGTTAGCGATTTCAGGGTTACGATTTACCGAAACACACGAGGTGAGTCTTCTCACTATACTTTACCTTGAGTAGGTAACCAGAGCTATGTGATGGAGTATTTGTGTGCTATATATGTTATGTGTTGTACTGCATGATTTCTATGTGATTTATGTGGTGCATGTTTATCAGAGTTAGAACCTGAGGGTTCACAGAGTTGGGTGCACGGACCCACAGAGTTATAGCCTAGAGTGGCTAATATGTGCTATATGTGGTATTTTGGGAAACTCACTAAGCCTTGTGCTTACAGTGTTGATGTTATTTGTTTCAGGTACTAGTGACGACCGCGGGAAGGCGCCGACTTG